TCAGTGAATAAACGGATGGATGGATGGATAGATAATAGATGGGCAGGTGAGAAGGCAGGTAAGGTATGGGATGGATGAATGGAGGTGTGGGTGGGTAGGAGGATGTATGACTGGCCGGCTGGATGTACAGGTATATGTGTGGGTAAGCTGATGGATGAATAGAGAAAAAAGAAAGAGAGAAAGAGAGAAAGGAAGAAAGGAAGAAAGGAAGGAAGAAAGAAAGAAAGAAAGAAAGAAAGAAAGAAAGAGAAAGAAAGAAAGAAAGGAAACAGAGAAAGAAAGAAAAAAGAAAAAAAGAAGGGAGGGAGGGAAAGAGGGAGGAAGAAAGGAGAAAAAGAGAAAGGAAAAAAGAAAAAGAAAGGAAAATAAAAAAGAAAGGAAGAGAAAAAGAAAGAAAAAGAAAAAAGAGAAAGGAAAAGAAAAAAGAAAGGAGAGAAAGGAAGAACTAAAGAAAGAAAAAGAAAAAGGTAGGCTGAATGACTGGCTGGATTGATGGATGGGTGTGTATGGATTAAGGAGTGGATGGAAGGATAAATAAAGAAGGAAAGACAGAGAGAGATGGGGTGAATGGACAGATGGATAGATGATAGACATATAGACAGATAGCTAAGTAGATTCATATAGATGTCTCTCTCTTCTTTTCCTTCCTTCCTTCCTCCTTCCTCCCTCCCACCCGTCCCTTCCAAATTCCTTTCACTGGGATGAAACCAGGAGCATAGCCTCCTCAAAAGGAAAGGGAGGCGAGAGCGATGACAGCAATCTTCTGCCCTCAGCCCTCTTCTGCTGCTCCACGCTGGGGCGGGAGAGGAGTGCTCTCCCTGTGTCTCCGTGCCCATCTCCCACCCCAGTTCTGCCAGGCTACGCTCCAGCAGGTGCAGAAGAATAGTCGTGGCCACATCAGACCCAGCTTCAGAGCCCCAAGAAGGACACACACAAAGGCCCCAGGGTCTTGGTTTCCAGGGAAATGGAAGGTAAAGTTAGGGACGCAGAAGGGTTCATTCAGGTCTTTACCACCAAGATTAACTGGCATACCTACAAGGCATCCCAGGTGATCTTTTAATTTGTGTGTTCATTGATTTGTTTCTCCAACAGCCTCTGTGGGTCACCTGTGGGAGAGAGTGCACATGGCGGATGGTTCCAGGCCTGGCGGTGAGCGCAGTAACCAAGGTCCGCCTGAGTCCTGTGGCTGCCTGGGGAGGACAGTGACTGGCCCCTCTGCTGAGCGAGGTTGGGCGTGTCTGAGCTGACTAGGACAGTGAGTGTGATGTCACCAGATGGTGACAGAAGTGAGTCGCCCAGGTCAGGGAATCAAGGATTAGCATTGGTGAAAACACAGGAGCAGAGAGAAGGCAAGAATCTCCCGGGCCCCACAGGCTTCCCTGTGGTAGGGTACACTGCAGCAGGCAAGGGCTGCGTGAGAGGCTGCTGGAAAGAACAGGGGCAATCACAGGGGTGCTCACATGGGGACTGAGCCTGGTGTTCTGAGGCTTATGGCTTGCACAATTGGGGCAGGGGGTGGGGAACTCTTAAAGAATACAAAAGCATTTTCCTTTTTGCAAAGGTTTTACAAACCAATGGCCATGTGAACACATGACTAGGCCCCTCCCAGGACCCTGCACAACGAGGGGCCCAGAGTGGGAGCCACAGTGAACCCCCCGTGGTGCTACCTGTGTGCCTTGGGCAACGAGCCGGCGCTGAGGGACCTTAGGGAAAAGGGTGGAACGGCAGCACACAGGATTCAGAAAAGGAACTTCTAACTGTGCATTGCCATCGATTCCCATTGGCTAAAGCAAGACATATTCTTTGCACCAGAGGCAGCGATGTGCCCAGAATGGGCAACTAAAACTCAAAGATGCCCCTGGCTCCTGGGCACGACTGTCTCACCCGCAGCTGAGCACAGTGGAAGAGCAGCCCGGTTGTCAGCCTGCTTCCTGCCTTCCCAGAGACAGAAACCATGCCCCCACAGTGTGTCCTGGAATGAAACATGCCCACGAGGCAGTGACGGGATGAGGTGACTATCAGGCTGTCTGAAGAATGAAAGTAAGTTTTGTCTACTTGTTTGCTTACTTAAGACTGTCACAGCTAATTTGTTTGTTTGTTTGTTTGTTTGTTTTTGTATGTTTAGTGGAGATGGGGTTTTGCCATGTTGGCTAGCCTGGTCTCGAAATCCTGACCTCAAGTAATCCACCTGCCTCGGCCTCCCAACGTGCTGGAATTATAGGCATGAATTATAGCATACCTTGCTATCCAGGCAGGCACTGCTAGACAGGAGCTCCAGGCAGCTGGTGACTCTGCAGACTGGCACGGGCCACGGCCGCAGCCACCGGCCTGGATAGCAAGGTCTTCAACATCATCTCACTCTGGCCTATGATTTCCTCTCCTCTTTCATTCTTTCCCTGGGCCGTGATGGGTATGAACTAGACCTCATATGACTCCATGCCACAGTAAAGTGGGAAAAATCAGGCAGCACCAACCCCAGCAGTGAGACCGACTAATGCTGCCAACACACATCTGACGATGCTAAAACCCAGGTAACAGGACCACACGAGCCAGCCACCCTTCGCCCACGCCCACCCTGGGCTTCCATGTCCCCTGCTGCACAATGTGGTGGGTGGATGACAGGCCCCACCTGGGGCTGTGGATGAGAAATAGCCCATAAAACTTTCCGTAAAGCTCTGTACACCTATAAAGTGCTATTAAAGTAATGACTATAGATTAGGATCAAAACTGAAGGGAACACGCATGCCCATTTGGGCTCTCCCAAGACCCACTCCTTGGCCCAGAGGGCCTGGGAAAACACACAGCTGCCCTTAACTTCAGCAAGTTACAACTGCTTCCCCATAGACAAAAGCCAGACAGAGGTGACCTGCACAGGGACTGAGTCATCCTCAGTTTCTTCCAGTGCTTTTTGGCTGGGATGTTGCTCCTAATCCTCACTAGATTTGCATCCTTTTATTATTACTCTGTGTGCTCTCCTGCCTTCTCCACAATGTCCCAGTGAGTTCTGAGAGCCTGTGATATATTTCCACAGCACATCCACAAACACAGGTGTGTTTCCAGATTATTTCAAAAAGAAGAAAAAAAGTGACAGTCTTTTTTTTTTTTTTTAACAGAGTCTCACTCCATCGCCCAGACTGGAGTGCAGTGGTGCGATCGTAGCTCACTGCAACCTCCGCCTCCTGGGTTCAAACAATTTCTTCCTGCTCAGCGCTCCACAAGTAGCTGAGATTACAGGCACCCGCACCACCACTCACGCCTATAATTCCAGCACTTTGGGAGGCCGAGGCAGGGTGGATTACTTGAGTCAGGATTTCGAACCAGGCTGGTCAACATGGCAAACCCCATCTCACTAAAATACAAAAAACAAACAAAACAATTACAAACTAACATTAGCTGTGACAGTCTTAAAGTAAGCACAATACAGTAGACAAAATACGTTCATTCTTCAGGGACAGCCTTGATAGGTCCTCATTCCCACTTTACGGTGTAATCGATCACGAGGGAGAAATTGTTCTTACATTGTAGGTCGATGAGTGACATGTTCTTTCATTCTCAATAAAAACAGGCAGGGTTCCAATGTGTAGATATGGATTTATCTCTTTAGGCATACTCAATGAAATAAACCATCCCTACCAGTGTATAACTTTTAAAATAAAAACAAGTTGACGTTAAGGAAAACATTTCATTCAATACCGCAAGGTAGCCACCGATTCGTGTAATATTTATGTCTACTTGGAAAACCGTTTCTTTTTGCAAAACTTATATTTCAAAAAGACAGAATAGTTCATGGGTAAAAAACCCGTTAATTTAAATTAAATATTTCAACAGATTAATATGACAACTGTTAAAAAGTATGTTGTCGTTCTTTCAAAAAGGGAACAGTTTAGCTTAATGGCTGTGATACTGTTTTATGAGGATTATTCATACATGCTCTGGACTGCACACCAGTCAATAATATATCACTCAACAAATTTACTATGATTACCAAAATGGCAGTATAAAGTAAGTAGCAGAAAAGGGGCAGTAATCATACGGTCTAGAAGGGTGATTTTACAATAGGGGACAATCTTGGGAGGGGCAAAAAGGATATCAACAATACAAGAAACCATAAGATAAAAATTAATAGGAGATTATATAAAAACATATTTCATAACAGGGAAATAATATGCTAAAATTAAAAAAAAACAACACTGTTTTAGCACACTGTTACACATAGCTCCTTAAAAGGAGTCTGGGAGAAAAGATGGGAAAAAAAGTTTTGGGTTCAGGTGTTCCAGGGGCTCAGAAAAGCATTTTTTGGAATCACATGAGTTTCTGATTGTGAAGTTGCTCTGGAAGGCACGTGACTGAGACTTTGCCTGAGGACCTGGCTGGTGAGGAAAGACGCTACTCTCACATGGCAAGCTGAGGGAGCCACGCTTGGGCTATGGTCCAGGGGCTGTTTGAGTTAGCGACTAAGTTTGAGCAGTGGAGGAAGAGAGAAAGAAGAGAAGAAGAAATCCCAGAGAAAGAGAGTAAAGAAAACTGGAGACGGCTGGGAAGGAAAGCACCTTTCAAATCTACAGGAGGCGGAAAGTGTGGTATCCAGATTTGAGGACAGTGACTTTGCTGGTGGTAAGTCCTTTAGGAACCCGGCTCTTTGGGTCATCAAAACCAGGGATGCAAGAAAGCTTCTTGTTAATAAAAATATCTGATTTAGACTTTAAGGTGCATGAAGTGGGGCATGTTCTCTTCACACTCGTTTTATTATATTCCAGACTGTGCATATTTTTATTTTTTTTTTTTTCTTGAAATGGAGTTTCACTCTTGTTGCCCAGGCTGGAGTGCAATGATGCAATCTTGGCTCACTGCAACCTCTACCTCCCAGGTTCAAGACATTCTCCTGCCTCAGCCTCCCAAGTAGCTGGGATTACAGGTGTGCACCACCACTCCTAGCTAATTTTGTATTTTTCGTAGAGACAGGGTTTCATCATGTTGTCCAGGCTGGTCTTGAACTCCTGACCTCAGGTGATCCACACGCCTCGGCCTTCCAAAGTGCTGGGATTACATGCGTGAGCCACCATGCCTGGCCTAGACTGTGCATATTCTCTTGAAGTGTGTGTATAATAAAGAGAGACAGAGACAGAGACAGAGAGAGAGAGAGAGAGAGAGAGAGAGAGAGGAGAGAGAGAGAGAACTGCTTTAAAATGTATATTTAAAATAAAATAGTTTTAACTCAATCCCATTTTCTGTAATATAGGTAGCCATACTGGTTAATGTCTCAAATCAGGTTGACTGTTTTCTGTCAAATTGTGAGTCCCTTTGGAATTGCGTGGTCATTTTGGAAAGGAGTGCAGAAAGTGCAGAAAGCCTCGTGGTCCTTGGGCTGTGCACACAAAATTCTCACCAGCTCGTAGGCTAGTGAGCTCATTCATGAGTCAGATTTCCCCATCTTCCTTTATTAACCTTGAGAGAACCCTAAATCAGAAAACTGTGGACCAGAAGGGACCTCGGCTATCCAGTCTGTCCCACCATTAGTTTCCACGATGGCTACAAAGAAAAGAGGTCGGTGAATATTCTACTGGGAGACAGCAACTCTCAGGGGCTGGAGGAAAACTCACTTGAAGGAATATACTTAAAATGCAGGCTGCAGGGGCTGGAATGTGGGGAAGGGGATGGAGGCGGCACTCGGATAAGCAGAGTCCAGCTTAGGCCAAAGGCTCTGGGGCCACAGTTCAGACCTCCCTGCCCTGAGTGGTGGGAGGAAAGCTAGTGTGGCTGCCGGACTCCCCCGCCACTCAGGGCACAGGAAGGAGAGGGTGTGAGGGCTGGCTGGACGCGGCGCCTCCAGCTCTATGACACACTGTAGCTGTTGTAGTACGTGGCCGTGGCATCAGCCAGGACAGAGATGAGGCTGGTCTCTGTGGGACCCGTTGGTGTCACCTGGGAGACGGGGACATGCCCACTGAGGGCCACGGTCCCTGTGGCAGAGTCTGGGTGGCCAGGAGTGTTCAAATACTGGTCGAATTCATTGCGATCCATGTCCCCCAGGAGTTCCACCTGACTCAGTTGATCCAGGGCATCCAAGCCAGGGTGCTCAGGAGGCGGGGAGAGCTGGCCCAGGTGGGCTTGGAGGTTGGAGTGGAGAGGGTGGTAGGTGGCTGGGGAGTAATAGGCAGGAGATGGGGGACAGCCGGGTACAGGGGACATCATGGAGACGCCGGGGGACTGGCCAAGAGCCAAGGAGCCCAGGGAGTGGCTACAGTGGAGAGGGCTGGGGGCGTACTCCGGTGAGTAGGGGGGCCCTGGCAGATGGGGGATGCGGCGGGGGTGGCCATGCTCCTCCTGGCAAGGGGAAGAGAAGAAGGTCTGCTCCGGCTCCAGCACGTCCAGGGGAGACATTTCAGGAGGTGTGGGCAGCCCGTACGGGTACGTGTCCACACTGCTCGGGGTGCCGCCGCCGCCACCACCAGCCGGCCCCTCGTGGTAGCAGCCCCGGAGGCTGGGCAGGGCAGTGCCGGGGGAGTACTCACCCCTGTCCTCCTTCTCCCCCAGCGCCCCCCGGCTGCCGCTTCTCTTCTCCGGCAGGGCGTTCTGGTCCCGGGAGAGGGAGCTCAGGAGGAAGCCGGGGTCCACGCGCTTGCACAGCCGCTTGGCCTGCTTCTTTCTGCGCGGCCGGTACTTGTAGTTGGGGTAGTCCTGCATGTGCTGCAGGCGCAGCCGCTCCGCCTCGTCCACGTACGGCCTCTTCTGAGACAGCGTCAGTGCCTTCCACGACTTTCCTGCTCACACAAGGCAGAGGAGGCCATGCTCAGTGTTGTGCCCCTCAGGCATTGCACATGCACACGCGTACACACACATGGGCACATGTACACACACCTCCCTTCACCCTCTCAGTCACAGAGGACACGGGCACCTCTTGCACCCCCTTCCCAACCCAGATCCTGCAGACACAGTGAGGCGAAATCAACACCTCTGCTTGCATCCATAAAGCCAGATCGTGCACTGTGCACACAGAGAGCATCGCCTCTCATGTAAGAGCCACCAGAGCATGCCCAGGCTACAATGCAGGGTCCCCGGTGAAAAAAGCCCACCTAACCATATTCAGCTACAGGAAGAAAATACCTAATGATCACAATATTGATTGGGGCTCTTTTTACCCTTCGAGGGTCCATTCTAAACATTTGTGCATTCTCATGAAAATCTCTGCCTTCATTGATTAGTGCAGGCTAAAGAGATACTGTCATAGTTACCTATGGCATAAATCTCACAGCCCTTTCTGGGAGGGAACTGAGGCTCAGCCAATAGTTTCACAGATGTCAGTAAATCAGAGATTTTCACTTAGGTTAACAAATGCCTGTTCCTTACCTCTGAGGGTCAAATAGGACCCTGCTGGATGACCGAGGCCAGAATGCTAACATCTGCCTGCAACACATGTATGCATGCCCAGACACATGCGTGCACACACATATACATGCAAACCATCACTTCCAGCCAGCCATCTTTTGGGGACCCTTGATGGTGCCAGGGCACCTGCTTAGCCACAGATCTCCATGCAGAAGCCATTCCCTGCACTTCTCTGAGTCTCTATTTTCTTCAGTATAAAATAAAGATATTGTGACACTTTCCAGCTCCAAACTCTCTCTTTAAAAATTATTCCATGCTTGCAACCCACTGGTGCTAATATGCTGGCTGTGCTTGATCTTCTATTCACCATTGCTTGCTTGTCTGTTGTTTTTCAAGTCCCCGGAGCATCTTCCCTCATCTCTCAGTGTGCACTGCACACCCCTCCTGCAGTGTTTTCTAGGGGTGGAGGGCTTCTTGGGTTGCTTTGCTACCTCCTAAGGTGGGCTCAGGATTCTACAACTTTAACATGTTCTCCCATGATGCTAATATGTCCTGAAGTTTGAGATGCATTAACCTAGAGGTTAAGGCCTAAGGAAAGGGCTATGTGTTCCATTCAGCACATTCTGCACAGGGCCAGGTGCAGAGCCGTGCACACAGCAGCCCTCAGTACCTCTGTCGACTGGTTCCTTGGGCCAGGGCTCACAGCCAGGCTAGGGCAATGATTAAGGGCATCGTACCACTTAGATGAAAGTTTATAGAAATTCTGTGGAGCTTTCAACTAACATCATTAGCTGTCACTTAAAAGGGTGACTTGAAAGTGTTAGGAGCTGCAGATTCAGGGCTGATCATCAGTTCCCAGCCTGTGGCTGAGGCTACAAAGCTGTTGCAAGCGACCCAAGATTCAGGTGCACCCCATACCCTGTCCGTGGTCTCAGTATAAAATGTGGCCCTAGCTTCTAAATGCATCCGGATGTTATATGATCAATAAAATACGTGTTCATTTTAAAATGCTACCAAATGTCTCCTCTTTATGCACTTTCTCAATCATAATATATTAAAAATACCAGTGTGACTAGGTCACATTTTTAATGTTAAGGTTTGGAAGGTTTATAGTGGAAAAAGTTGAGACTCTCATATCCAGGCTTTTCCTCTCAGGTCAGAAAGGAAAGAGCCAAGAAGGAAATGTCACACAGGTGGAGGGGATCATCCCGCTGCCCCCTGCTAACAGGTGCACAAAGTCCATATTGTGAAAAGCACCAGTGTTGCGGTTTCCCTCACCCAGTGCCAGGAGCTACATGGCTCAGCAGGAAGGAATCCGTGTTTTTTCTGCAGAATGAACTGTAACCTCCTGAAGCTGAAGTGTAGGCCCCGACTGGGACCAATTCACAGGAAGCATCTGTCTCCTGTGTCCCTGTGTCTGCCCCTTTCCTGGGAGCAGGCTTCCCCAATTCCGAAGGGCCGTGCTTCTCACCCTTCCCTCCTCCCCAATCCCTGGCCCAGGCCTGCACAGAATTCCTTCTCTATCACCCTCACAGCAGTGGCTTGCTTCCCCCTCAGCGGGCATGGTCAACAGGCACAGTGCCCAGGGTCCGTGGAAAAAACTGTTTGGGGATCCACAACAAACATATTTTCATTTCTTTTAAAATCTAAAGAAAAATATAAACTAATCGGTAAAGAAAATGTTTTATTATTGTACATATTAATATATTTGTCTTTATGCCAACACTGTGTAAAATAAAAATGTTACTGTTTTTTGATGAGGGAAAAGGCCCCAGAAGGCTGCAGACCACTAACGCGAGTTGGTGAAGCCAGCCACGAGGCTGGGTCCTTTGCAACCAGCACTCCATCAACCGCTTTACACAGCAGCTAAACTGCAGGAGGGCTCGGCCTGGGACCCGCTCTGCGGGCCTACGGCTTTGACCAGCAGAAGGAGGGGCGTCAGTCCTATCTCCAAAGTTCCGCCCCCCGGGAAAGAGCCCTGAGCTCTGAACTCCGACGAAAAAAAGAAGGGCTCTGTTCTGGGCAGGGTGGGGTTTGGGAAGGGTAAAGACGGCCTCGGGTGCCCACGCGTCCCTTCTCATAGGACCTGTCTCCCGCTGCGTGCACCAAGTGCTTGTGCTTTGAAAGGTTTTCGCCGATTAAAACGAATAAAAACCGCGTCGAAAGGCAAAGAAGTTAGGGGTTAGGTAGGGTCGAAAAGTACTCAGCTCGACACCGGAGGAAAAAGAAACCCCCACAGGAACTCCGGTTGTTCGGGTGTGTCCTAACAGCCTCACTCCGGACCTCTTGGACCTGGTGGGTCCGTGTCCCCAGCCCCTGTGGGGACAGCCCAGGAAAAGGCCGGGTTCCAGGACAGCCCAAGCATCCAAATCAAGTTATCTACACCCCCGAGGCTGAGAATAGATGAACGAATCGAGTCTATTGGGGTAAGTTTTTTGTTTTGTTTTTCTCTTAATTATTTAGTTAAAGCAAGGATTCGTTCCGCAGGGTCTCTCTTCAGGAATATTCGTTAATTATAATTTCATCTGTGACAGCCTTCCTCTGAGATGGCCCAATTGTAAGATCCAGGGAATGCTGGGTCTTCCCGCTTCGGTATTTCTAGCAAACGCCGGTTCCACCCAGCCTCGACGTTTCCGTCCCTGCCCTGTCCATGCGCGCCGGTCCCTGCGGCCAGGCTGGCCGCTGCCCCGTCTCCCCGCCCCCTGGGGCGCCGACCTCCGCTCCTGTCCCAGCAAAGGAGCCTCCCCTGCCTGCCGCGCTGTTTCACTTTGGACCGCGCCAAGTGCCCCCGCTCTGAATCCTGGGCACCGCGAGCACCCACGCTCGCGCAGACGGCCAGCCACGCGGGCACGAAGAGGGCCCTCGCCCCGCGTGCCGGGTTGTCCCCAGGCTCCGCGCTCGCACCCGCCCTGCCAGGCAGCCAGCCGCTCGCCGTCCGCCCCCCGCCCCCAGCCCCCAGCCCGCCCGACCGCGCGCTCACTCACCCAGCATCTTGCTGAGCTCGGCGTTGTGCAGGTCAGGGTTCTGCACCGCCAGCCGTTTCCTCTCGTCCTTGGCCCAAACCATGAAGGCGTTCATGGGCCGCCGGATACGGCTCTCGGAGCCCTTGTCCCCCGGGGGCCGAGGGGCGGCGGGCGGCGACTGTCCATCCGACAGCTCGGCGTCCAGGGCCGGGCACTCGAGCCCCTCGGGCCAAGGGTAGGCTCCCAGCAGCGAGGCCATGGCCGCACGCGGGTCGCCTCGCTTAGCTTGGCGGGGCCGGCGCAGACCTGGCCCTCGCACCGGTCGGGGCGTCCAACTTGGCCCGCAGCCGCGACCCGGCCCCTGATTTATCAGCTTCGGACGGCCGCGTCCTCCAATGACTCTCCAAGGCGGCGCGGCCCCTCCCTCGGTGTCGGCACGGGTCCCCTCCCTGCGTCCCGGGCCGCCGCCGGGTCCCCGCTCCAACCTGCCGGGAGGAGGAGGGAAGAAGGGAGGGAGGCAGGGCCTCCTCCCCGCACCCGCCCCCGGCCCGCCCCTCCACCGCCAGGGGCCCGCCCGGGGATCTGCGCCCGGCTGGCCCGGGCCGCCTCCCGCCCCCTGCCCTGGACCCGCAGGTGCCGCAGAGCCGCAAGGCAGGCGCTGGAGGCCCTCTCCAGCCCGGGCCTGCCCGGGTCAGACTCCACTGCCCCTCCTGCGCGTGGAGCCTCGGAAAACCCAATCCAACCAGGTTTCGCCGAGCTCGCCTGGGCGTGAGAGACACTGACCATGAACCCCTCAGATCAGCCGTTCTTAATACTCCGACTGCCATTCCTTTCTAAAATGACCGGGTTTCGGCCACCGCAGCCCCAGCCAACTGGGGTCGTCACAGAGGCCGGCCGGAGCCGGAGCTGGGGACTGCACCCCGCCTCGGGTTCTGTGCAGTGTTCGCCGAAGGCCCCGCGACGCCCCCGCCGCCCCTGGCTCTCAGGAGGGCGAGGCCGGCGTTCTGGTTCTCAGCCACCTGGTTGATTTCTCCTCTCACTCCACCCGCACCCAGTCTCCGGGGCCAGGCCTCCAGCTCCCTCACTTCTGGCTCTTCTCACCCTGAATTTTCTCCTTATATTTTCTCTTTCCTCCTCGGATTGGCAGTCCGGCTTCTCCGAAAGGAGTCGCTCCCGCCCTCTCGCGTCCCCCCCGGCTGAGCTGCGACCTGCTAACTCCCCCAGTTTCCCTCATCTGCACACCCTGGTGTACACCGACCGTGCGTGCCGGGCCCGTGTGCAGCCTGGGGACTGCGGGCTGGGAGCTCACGGCCGTTGCTTGCCCGCGCTCACCGCAGCTCCCATGTCACCCGGCCCCCTGTGTGGAGCGCCGTTCCCGCACTCTCATATAAGCGCCGGCACACAGTAGGCGCTCAAGGCCTGCAGAATGAGTGAGCAAATATGGCTCAGACACCTACTGAATGAAAGTCGGCAGGTTTGACTAGATCCTGGAATTCAATATTTACTGAGCGCCCTCCATGTGCCGGGCTCCACAGAGGTGATCCTGGAAGGAGGCAGCGTTGTGGGGGTGGGGGTGGGGGTGCCGTGGGATCCGGTGTCAGAACCTGTCTTAGTGTTTAGGTGACTGAACGTGCGACTCTGGACAAGTCACATCTCTCTGGATCGCCTTTCCTAATCCTAACACGGGACGATGATAAGACTGACCTTTCAGGGCTGTTGTGAAGATTCGGTGAGACAAATGTAGAGAAAGCTCCAACCCTTCCTGTGATGCTTGACGTTAATACAACTCTAGGCATGAAGCCCGTGAGCCTGAGTCCGAATTTCAATGTCCCCGCGCGCAGCAACCGATGCCTTGCATGCAACATGCAGCGGGCCCCACGGCTAAGACCCGGCAAGTGTAAGGTGAACTGCAGCGTCTCTGTTTTCACGTCCTAATTTTCACCTCTAGAGCCCGGGACAATTTTCATCCGAGAATTAGCTTTTCGAACAAAAGAGATGGCTGGGCTTGCCAGGATTCAGTAGCAGCAACCTGGGCCGGTGCGCCCCAACCGCTGCACTGGCGGGCCGGGAATCTAAGGGTATGGGGCGAGGTGCGCGCTGCGCAGCACGGGCAGAGAACAGGGTGCCCACCGCTGGGGCAGCATCCAGGAACCAGAGGCGGAGCGGTGGGGGACCCAGTGGGGGCCGTTTGCAGAGAGTTTGTCCTCCATCTAGGCGGACTTCCCAACCCTGTAAAGCCCAGGCCATCTCCAGTGGCCGACCCCTTTCCCGCATGTGCCTCCAGCAAAACCCCAAGCCAGAGTGCGCCTCGTGGAATCCAGGGCCGCGCCTGGCCAGGAGAAGGGAGCTCTTTGAGAAAGGGGAGAAAGAGGGTCCCACTTTGGGGCTTGAGCTGCGGCGGAAGATCCAGGGAAGCGCTCGTCCCCGACCCTTTCTGACCCTACTGAGCTCCAGGGCGGGGGCGGTGCTCAGCAGGGTCGGAGGCCACGAGGGGACAGCGCCCCCTTCCCGACGACTGGCGTCCCCACTCCCCGCCCCAGCCCGTAGCGCCCTCCCTGCATGGCCCCAGAGCAGAGCGCGCAAGCCGTGGGGCCGCGCCCGGGCACCAGGTTAGGAAGATGCGCCCTCCCCAGGGAACACGGAACGGTCAAGTTAGATCCCAGACACCGACGGCAACAACAGAGAAAACAACGGGGACGGGGCCAGAGAATACGTGTTGTGATTGTTGTCTGCACTTGTTTAGTTTCTTGCTTTTCCTCTGCAGAGAGCTTGCAAGCCTGGGCTGTCCAGGAGGTGATCATCAACCTTTCCAGTGCTGATGCGGGCGCCGCCCGGAGCTCGGGAATTGCCAGCACCGCAGTAGCCGGGCTCGCTCGCTCCATTCCTTCATTCCCTTGCGTCCACGCATTTATGCACCTTGGCAACCGTATGCGAGCGCGCCCTGGTGCAGGCGACGCCAAGGGACGCGGGGTCGCCATAACCTCGCCGCTTCTCTGGTCACTGCGAGCTTGTCCTTCCAGAGCTCCGCGCCGACCCTACGCGACCCCAAAGCCTGGAGCTCGGAGGGCTGAGCTAGAGGCGGAGGGAGGCAGCCCTGGCATGCCGACACTTGTGTCGCCAGCGCTGGGTTCGGGGCTGCGGCCAGCTGTGGGTCCAGCGGCTCTTAGATCGAGGCTAGGCGCGGCGAATCGTCACGGCGCGGACCCTGAAAGACCTGGCGGAGAAAGGTCAAGGCCCAGGGCTACCGGGTTGGATCTTGCGGGGCTCTGACCTTCGGCGAGACCGGTCAGGGGCAGCCAAGCAGAGGCGGAGAGGCAGGGCCGGGTGTGATGACGCGGGGCACACTGGACAACGCGCGTGCTCCACGCAGCCGGCCTGGCCGCACCACCGGAGCTCACGCCTCCCGCGCGAGTTACCTGAACTGCACTCTCTTAAAAGATGTTTTCTTTCTTCCTTCTTTCTTTTCTTTTCCTTCCCTCCCTTCTCCCTCCCTCCCTCCTTTCTCCCCGACCCCCTTCTCTGTCCGTCTAGCTCGGTAGTTCTGTGAACACTGGTTTCCAAGGACACAGGACCTGAAGCCAGAAATCCCCAATTCTGATTTTCTGCAATTCAATTGCGTTGTGATAACTCACTTAACTAATCTCGGCCTCAGTTTCTTCACCGGTAAAATGGGGATAATACAAGGTGGCTGACACAGTGTTTGTAAAAGCTCCTCGTAGAGTTTTCTGAGTTGTGAAATATGAAATCGTGAGTGGGCAAAAACATAAAAAAAAAAAAAAAAAAAAAAAAAAAAAAAAAGTCGGGCCTCCACAACTTTCCTCTCCAGGAGCTTTTCTCATTCTATTCCGAACAGAGGAATTTCAGCTGCTCTGGGGTGCAAGGGGAGAGAAAGGGGCAGAAAGAGGGGGAGGAGGAGGGGGAGGAGGAGGGAGAGGAGGAGGGAGAGGGGAATCCAGCTGCAGTACCCCTGGTACCTGCTCCGAACTCGCTGCGAACCCGGAGCTCTGAGCCGGACCAGGCGCGTCCTGGGCCAAGGGCCTGCCTTGGGCGGGGCCACCGCGGATACTCCAGAGGCTCGCGGCAGCGCCCGCAGGCGTTGGGTGCAAGTGTTCTGTGTTTGCTTTTAGTTCCTCACACCAGGCTAGAGGTTGAAGTTATTATCATCACCATCTTCGCTCACGCTGATTTGTCTGTACTTGATTGGCAGTCTTTGCAAAGCAGGTTCCCATTCACTGGCTCATCCCCGCCTCCACACAACCCTCGAAGCAGAAGGCTCAGAGTTTTAGGATTGAGCCACTTCCCAGACAAGGCGGGTGAGGCTGCGGCTACAAATGCCAGAGCACAGACCCCAGCGCGCGGCTCCTGACCTCACGCCTGGACTACTAGGTTCCTGTGCGCCCAAGTAGTGCCCCAGCTCGAGGGAACGGCTTCTAACCAGCCGCTGCGACGCCTCCTGGCTTTGCGCTCGCTCTAGCCTGGTCTCTGGAAGTTCCACTGCACCTTCCCTCATCCAAAGGGTGCCTTCAGTTTAAGGCGTGTCCTGAACAAGGTAACGTGAAAAGCAAGGGGACAAACCCTGCTGGCCATGGCCGAGGTGCGGGCTGGAGAGAGGGGAGAACCGGCCAGGCCTGCCAGCCCCGCCTCCCGCCTGTGCGGGGTCCAGGAGTCTGCAACTCGGGTTTTCTACAAGACGCTGTAGTGGAGTTCCTTTTTCAACCCACGGAAATCTCTCCATAGTCATCTAAGAGAAGCCCATCAAGTTCCTAATTTAGAATAACAGTCTGTGATTAAAACAGCAGGGCTTGGCCGGGCACAGTGGCTCACGCCTGTAATCCCAGCACTTTGGAAGGCAGAGGAGGGCGGATCACCCGAGGTCAGGAGACCGGGACCAGCCTGGCCAACACCATGAAACCCCATCTCTAGTAAAAATACAAAAATTAGCCAGGCATGGAGGCATACGCATGTAATCCCAGCTACTTGGGAGGCTGGGGTAGAACTGCTTGAACCCGGGAGGCAGAGGTTTCAGTGAGCTGAGATCGCGTCAATGCACTCCAGCCTGGGCAACAAGAGCAAAACTCTCTCTCTCTCTCTCTCTCTCTCTCACACACACACACACACACACACACACACACACACACACACCGAGCAGGGATTTCAGATGTACACCTGAAGCTTCACTACACTGACTGAAGCAGGCAGAACAAAAGGACATTAGGTCAGTTTCACAGAATCTGAGGTCCAGTAGCTTTTCCACATGAACCTAGGGAAAAAGGAATGTTGTTTTCAGACTAGATTGCTCCTGAATGTGGGTAGTACAGACCCCTTATAACATCAAAAGCTTTTTGTAGTTGCTTAAAATACTAAGATACAGTTTCCCTGGGTCAGGCATTCCTG